TTTTCATTTTAAAAACATTGTCAAGAATACATATTTATAATAAACTAACCAATAATACATTTTTAAAGCAAAATGACCAACAATACATTTTATAGTAGAATTACCAACAATACGTTTTATAACAAAATGACCAACAATACGTTTTATAACAAAATGACCAACAATATATTTTTATCTATAATTGAAAGCATGTAATTGCATTCAAAATATATTTAGTTGAAGCCATAAAATTGTGTTCAAAATATTTAGATTTTGGCATTAAATAACCCATAGAGGTGTTGATATGCTGCTAAACAAAATCAACCAACCAACCATGTATTATATGTTTCAATATTCACATTGTTGATATCTAACGTAAATTCTATAAATATGCATTTTTATCATTTCTTTATATCTTGGATCAAGTATTATCATTATTTACACTATTTAAATTCGGACAATAGTTCAAATGTAAATAGGTAAAATTATGTATTTGCTATTGAGATTAAATATATATATATATATATATATATATATATATATATATATATATATATATATATATATATAACAGGAAAACATTTATAGAAATATATTTAATTAATGCTAATTTACATCATTTAACATATACAAAAGAATTGTAACAAAAAGTATTTGTGGGCATTCTCGTGGTTTCTTTTCTATGCGTCATCGTTTGTTTTTTTGTTTTTTTCATGTTTCATTTACGTTCTTTAACGTCGATGCACGCCTGTACAGGTATACAAAAATGCACTGTTGAAAATTTGCACACACTTCGTACATACGTCGGCACAAGGCATATCAATAAGTCCGTAGCCTAATGAAGAAAAACATTTATTATGCACATAATTGTTTTCCTTGCTAATGCACAATTAACAGACAAATCTCAGCTAATAAACTACCTATTAGACTTCCTGCTTATTAATGTACTCTTGTGCACTCGCACACCTACGCACATACACACACAAATACACAGAACAATTGCAACTGAATAGTTAGTTCGATCCTCACTGGGTGCTTCATGCTACGCTTAGAAAATCCTCATACACGCTATCATTCTTTCTTTTTATCGTTCATTTTCTTTCGTTTTTTCTCATATTTTTTAAAATGTCGAATGTGCGTGGGTGGTAGTGTTGAAATATGAATGACAATAAGATACCAGTTTCATTTGTTTTCTCGGATTATTATCTTCACCAGCGTTGTTTTTAGCGTAACATTTCGCACAATATAAATCTTCTGTCTAAATCTGAAGTACGCTACATCCAGAGATCTTTAGAAATAGCTTAGTAATTTACTTTGGTTTTCATCACATCACCTAGACTGCTACAATTCGACAGAATCACAGGATCGTTTGATACTGTTTCATTAACGTAAAAAAAGAGTCACGTTAAAATTCCATACGTTAGATTCTGGACAAATTCTATGATTCTGTTTAATCAGAGTGTTCTAGCCGAGGCAATAGAAAAGAAATTAAAGAAATGCGATTTTTAATGACAGCCGGTTGAGCCTGTATTATCGTTATTTCATATGTTTTCAAACGATTATCTTCATCTTTGCTGTTTTTGTTTCTTTGTTTTTTAAGCATAACGTTTCCAACCAATATATTATTCCATCTTCTGGCTGTTGATAACCAAATAACCAAAGATAATAAAATCAACGAACTGAGTTCAAATTCCAGCTAGGCCAGTATCCGTCCACTTTGACAACCCCCGTTTATCAAAGATATATATATATATATATACAGTTATAAATAAAGGCAATCTATCACAGCTTGTTCAATGATGTTCGAATAGGTTAGAAATTGATCCTTATTATTGGTTCCAACTAACACAGTAAATAAAAATTATTGCATTTTACTTCGATAGAAGATGGATGCCGCCTAGTAGTATTCCCTTTACTGCCCTAATTCAAGGAATGATAATTAGTCAACTTGGCAACTGGAAGATCTAATCCATCATGGGAAACGTCCAATTCCTATCCCTCTATCTTCAGCATTCATTTATCTAAAGAAACAGTAAATACTTTTTTTTCTTTTTATGCCTTCACATAATGAATCCGACGGAATCAAAGAACTGATTGTTAAGGTCGTCTGTTACTCATGTTAACGATAGAATATGAAGAATGAGAAAAGTTTTGTACATTGTTATCACAGAATCAACCTTTTGCCAAGAAACTTTCATGGAAAACGTATAAAAATGATTTTTAATCAAAATGACAAAAAAATCATAAGACAAAAATAATTAAAATGTTAGAATTGTGTAAAGGTTAATATAAAAATTGTATTTAATAAAAAGATAATATATGTATGAAAAACTAATTAAGAAAATTTGAATGTTACTAACACGGTTTCTTTGAAATAAACCACTAAAATGAAGCTACACTATTTACACACACACGCACGCACGCACACACACACACACACACACACACACACACACACACATATATATATATATATATATATATATACAAAACATGAATGAAAGTTATGCGTAGAGATCTGAAAAAATAAAGCGACTCCAAATTGATGCAAAAAAAAACAAAAACAAAAAAAACAGCCAAAATGAAGCCAAGCAGTCTAAACATTTTGCGGCAAAATTTTACAAAATGAAGATCAAATTTAATACTGTCAAAACCTCGTCAATTTTAAATTCCAAGCAGTCGTGGTTTGATTGGAAAGTGATTCATGAGCTTTTAACCAATGGGGATACAAATGTTCAGGCCTCCAAAGGTGTTGGTTTTGATCCGGTTGGAGCTACCGCTTGGCTATTTAAAGGGGAAATTTTGACTGCAAACTCAGAAAAGAATAGATCACACACTCAAGTGGAGATCGTCTCAAGCGTTTACAGGATGCTATTTTTGATCTATGTAGGTGAGAGAGGAGGAACACACCACCCAAAGCGGAGAATTGACCGTTTCAGGCGTGTAGAAACTGTGATCTGAGATCAGAAAAGAAACGATCACCTCGGAGGAGAAAGCCGTGATCTGGGATCAGAAAGAATTCGAATAGTCGGACGTAAAATTGTTACCTGGGATGATAAAAGATTTTTACTGAAGAAGCAGAAGGAAAAGAAAAACCCTTAAAAACCTACGTGAATTCTCTTTATGATTTTTTAAGCTAGAGATTTTTATCTCATTCAAATGATTTTACTAAAACTGAGATGTTATCGCATTTATATCAGAATATTTTGTTTAAAGGTTCATGAGAACCAGCATCGGCTGAGTTAGGTCTTCTCTTTCTCATTTCCTTCGACTTTCAACCTTTAAATCTTCGAATTTGTGAACGTTTTGATGTAAGTACATTTCTTGTGTTGCTAAAAATTTGCTTTACATGGACTGTTGTTCTAAAAGAAACTGACATAAACTTCGTTTGTTGTTAAGGAAAAACTTGGAAAAGACAGCGATAAGATAAAGTTAGAAAGAGGAGCAAGAAGAAGGCAACATTTCTCTAAGAATATTTTTTTAAGCGTTTCACCCCAAGCAAGGCGGGAAGCCACTAGCACGCAACACCTGGATTCGAGAGTAGGCTGGAGTGAAGGACATAATCGAGACCATCACGAAGGGCAAACATAGATGAGTTAGTCTCGTCTCAGAGACACCTGGTGGACTATTAGAGCGACAGAGAGGACACCAAGGCAGGAGAAAAGAGCAAGAGGGCGTGCAGAAGACAAGATGGAACGACGATCTGACTCGATACGTCGGCTCCACATGGCCCAATATTTGATAGGAAATAGTGGAGATCAACCAGGGAGAGGTTCTTCCAACGGGAGTGAGAAAGCCCGTACATTTGGATTTGGATTCAGTAAAACCTTATTTGGAGAATAATCTTACTATATACATATATCGCAAAATGACCAGAGATGGGAATTAGGGAAGGTCAACCAGAGAGGGATTCCTCCAACAGGATTTGGGATTTGGATCTACTCAGAAAGTTGGACTAAAATGTAACAATAATAAAATGGTATAAAACGTGTAATAAAATAATAGGAATAATGTAGAGTGTATTGACCCAGAGTGATATGATACAAACAAACAATATTAAGTTGGAGTTAAACTAGTAATATAAAAATTAGGAAGCGTATATTGACCCAATGTTTTAGGAAAAAATCAATAATGGTGTAAAATTAATAATAAAGTAAAAATAGTAATGAGAATGCTTCTCCTATATGAAAAGCAAGATCTAGTATTTTAAAAAAGGTGACCTTAATAGTCTGTCCTGTAATTGTCTAACTATAAGGTTTCGCGGCACAAACGTATACACATAGAATATTCCTTCCACACACATCATTTCTGGTTTTGGGTGTATCAGCTACTTTATTGCCTAGTATTAAGAATTGTATTTATGTATTTTGTATTTACTATTATATTCATGTTATCAAAAATGAAGCCATTTTTGTTAAGTTCTTCGTTTTCACATATGCACCTTTAAATATATTTTCCTCATTATCGTTGTTTAACACGTTGTCGGTTTTTTTTAGAGCCCCATTTTGTAAGTATCTTGGAAAAGTTCACCATTGTTATAGTATGTTATTACCACATCTCTTTGCCGGTGCAACAGGAGATATAACTCCATCGAAGCAAAAAGTTACATATATAAATGCATGTGGTATATTAAATAGAGCTATATAGTTTATATCTTCACATTTAAGTAATTAGTCTTTCTAATAGAATAGATGAGAAATACTCAGCGTTTTCTAAAACAACCGGATATAATGTATATCTGAAGAAGGCTGAGGAGTGTATCAGCCGCAACGTTGTATTAAAAATAAAACAAATAGGGATGAAAGCATCTGAAGGATCGAAAAGTTTAGGGACTAACTCAAGCCTCATTTTATGTCTCCTTTCCTTTTCCTAATTCCTTATTTACCCTTCCCTCTCAATGTCTCTTTCTTCTTCTTCTTCTTCTTCTTCTTCTTCTTCTTCTTCTTCTTCTTCTTCTTCTTCTTCTTTCACCCCCAAATTGCGGCATCACTCAATTCTTGTATTTTTATTTATTTTTATCTTTAATTCAGTGATCTCTTCAGAAATTTCCTCAAAGCGTCTCCAGCTCCAAGCAGGATCATTCCAACCCCAAGGCCACAGGTTGTCCAGCCAAAAATCATAAATGCAGGACCGTAACTTCCAACACTTTCAGTTATTGAACCTAAAAAAAAAGAGAGAGATAAAATTATATTAAACATATTAAATGTGTCCATTTTAGATAAGGTAGGCTATAAATAGTTACTCCTTAAATTTAGTACGACAATACGCTACAGCAGTGTATCTGCCAACAACGCTCTTTTTCATCTGTAAGGAAACTACCCAACATTCACTGCCATATATTTTTTAACAGTAAGGTTCACTCTGTACAAGGCCCGGGAACCACTCCAGGTAGAGAGTTACGTTAATGAGTAGTTTATACGGATAGGAGGGCATGATAAGTTAACTCTAGACTTGAACAGGTCAAGATTGTAGTGATCGGGGAAACATCCTTTTGGGAGTCGGTTCCACAGAGTAGTCGTTCGCGGGAAGAAGCTGTTTGTTTTACTTCTCACCGATTGAATACAGAGGGAATGTAGGTAGGGGTTGTTACAATGTAAGTGGCATGGCGGATGCTAGCAAGATTAGACATAGTGAAACCAAAGAATATAGTTTGTCCGAGCACTTTCCATGGAAGTAGTGATAGAGCAGTGAGAGGTGTCATGATAGGTACATTGAGTTTCCTATAGTTAAATATCAACGTCATTTTTTTGGTGCACAACAATCTCAATAATAATAATAATAATAATAATAATAATAACAAATCATGTCATAGAAGCATGATGACCTAATCTTATTGTTAAAGATAAGACGAATAGTAGGTGGGTAATGAAGTTTTCGGGATAAAGAACGTAAGTAGAAATCTGAGAAAAAGGTGATAGTAAGAGGAATAGAGAGAGAAAAGGAGGCAGAAAAAGAGAGAAGAAGAAATGGAAGGAGACAAATATACGCAATATACACGCCAGTAACATCAGCTAAATATACACTACACTTCTTGTGTGTTTTTGACACATTTTCTAGCAGAAACACACCCCGATTTACTATTTAGAACTCTCCCCCCCCACTCTCTCTCTCTCTCTTTCTCTCTCTCTCTCTCACTTTCTTTTTCACGCACATTCTTGTTCTGCCCTTTTTATTTCTGATTTGTTCACCTGTTGTTCTGACATAATAGAATTGTTTAGTAAATAGCTATATCTGACATTTAAACATTTAAAATCCTGTTTTGACTAACGAACAATCTGTTTACGCATTAAAGTTAATGTCTCTTGATCTTCAACACGCACACAAAGTAAAACATATTTCAGTACATATTCGTATAAATTTCAAAATTATATCTATTTATTCATATATATATATATATATATATATATATATATATATATATATTAATAAATATACATATACCTACGTTTGTGGTGCGACTTAAGTTTCGTTGGTTACCCAACTCTTCAGGCACAAGGTATATGTATATTTATTAATATATATTTATTAGCTTTGCCTAAGCACATTGAACACTGTCATGTTTACGCCTTAAGGTAAATTTGGTATATATTTATTTTCATACCTGGAAGGATACAGAGAAATCCAATCATTCAGACAAGGGGCGGTAGTGTGTTCATTTTTATTAACTATTTTTATATCAATTATGAGTTACGTTCGAAAAAGAGGTTAAGTTTAGGGAGGGTAGGGGTGTATTTTTCAACGAATTCCGACATCCGTTATATGCATGTCATCTGTTTTTTTGGTTTTTTTTATATTTATGGCAAAAAGTCTTTCGGCATTTTTTCCTACTTATCTTTTCCTAACATCTTTTCCTTTTTAAAAAATGACCCTTGTCTACCGCCCCTACCACGGAGACACAGCCTTATATAAACAAAACACTAATAAGCTTCTCTCGTGTTCCTCTTCATTCATCTTTTTCCTTGCTGCCAAGATGTAATCTTCAAGAGCTTCCGTCTTAACCACGCGGTCAGACGTTAAAGATCATTGCCATCAACTCTTACCAACTTTCTCGCAACTCAGCAGTAGAGTCCAGTTCAGTAGAGTCCAGCTATTACGCCTGTCTACACAAATCCATGACTTTACTCACAACGCACACACAGACTTTTGTATCACATTACACATTCATTCTCTCTGAGACTATGCAAAGATCATGAACCAGAACTCTCTTAATTACTCAAAACAACACACTTCTTGATTAACTGTCTTCTATTCTAACACCAGACTATATTCAACATAGAATCCTGAACATTCTTATTCAAGAGAAATTCTTTTGAACATTCAATCTTAACCAGAATACAGTTGAAGGGAAGCAACTTTTTCTCCCTTAATTACGACACACCATTGCATATTATTGTTTCAATATATATTTTATTGTTGATGCACAATTGGAGTCTCGTTTGTTTTTGTTTGAGTCGTTAAAAGTTATAATAGATAAATGCTCTTACAACACGCAATTACATTTGATAACCTCAGGACATAAACCCAAGCAGCATTTACACCATGAAAGGAAACGGTGAAATTCGTCTGCAAAGACAGTCTGCAACAACGGAGAGTGAACGCAATATTCCAGTACTTTCAACTCGACATGCCGATTCTATTTCTTTTTAATCGAATTCACCCCAAGCAAGGCAATAAAGATACTATGACACTGGAGTTTACTGGGTGTGGAAGAATTAGAAAACAGAAACATTACTAAGGAGCGAAAACAATACAAGAGAAAACAGGAAGACAGTAGATAACAACTGACATTGCATTTGAATTTTTGAAGATTAAATTTGACTGGAAAGCATGTAACTGGAAGCGAGTTTCACGAGTAAGAAGTACGAGAAAAGAAACCGAATGCCTCAAGGGGAACTACTGCGTATCTCAAATAGAACTCATATATATGGTCCATTACTGAAGATGAGGCTTAAGACCACATCACACTGAAACACGTTAAGTAAGTTAAGCAACGTCGAGCCTAGTCAGATGGGTGACCACATTGGGAATAATAGGTGATGTAAACTTGGATGTGTGGGTGGCGTAATGGATAAAGGGTCGGAGTTATTAATCGGAGAGCCGAGTTCCAATTCCCTTTGGGTTCTTTATAGTCAATTACGCGTAATTAACGTTGGGAAAGATATGAATTCATTTGTTTCCCCCAGTTATGGGTTAATTAGTAAGATTTTTATCGCTAAACCATTATTATCTCCTCCTCCCCCAAATTCTTTTAATCTAAAAATATTTCCTGGCGTTAAATAACCTGCAAAATATTGATAACCCGTAGAAAACGAATCAATCAATCAAGCTAAAGATGGTGAGAAAAAATAGTTGGCTCTTTCTATCACCCTAAGAAGTACATGACTAAAATATCGACCTTGAATTCTCTAGTAAAGATCCAGTTACCATAATTAAAATAACATTGTCTGCTGAATTATTTTAAAATTATTATTAAGACAAACGTTCGTAAGACGGGGATTTCGCTAGTTATTATTATTATTATTACTGAGTCTAATAAAGCTATACCAACCACCACAACCAAATGTGCATGGTATGTTGCAGGTTTTGGTAAAAAAAAAAAATAACAGCGGATAACCTTGCTGGTACGGCTCCGTTAAAAATACTTTCAAGTTGGGTAACGCAGTCTACTTAGACAGGCTCCGATTTAGTGTGTTCCCATGTATCTTGACATGACACCCAAGTCGCCTTGGCTGACTCATCCGTCAGACTTAAATAACGACCCTCTCGATACTTGCTCATGAACTGAGATACACAGTGTGCCAGTGTCTAAGGGATATGCCTAGTCGATTAAGGTCAGACTAGACCAAAAATTGCGCATTGTTATTCATATCTGGTTTGGAGTTCTTCAATCTACATTTTCCACAGTCTTGATAGAATTGAAAATCGTTTATGTGGTCTTGTGAGGGAAAAGTTTTCCACGCTGCAGCCTCTTTCCCTCAGCCGCAATGTTGCAAGTCAGTCGTTACTCTATCGCTATTTCCATGGCAAATGTTCAGATGGCTCCATTTTTTAATTCCACCAGTTCAGACCTTTACAGATGGAACATTTACACAGTTATGTGAGGGAAGGCTTATTCTCCACTTTGCAGCTTCTTTCCTCACAGACGCATCACTACTCTATCGCTATTTCTATGGCAAATGTTCAGATGAATCCCGTTTTCGAGTTCATTTATTTAAGACTTTTACAGGTAGAATACACTATGCTACTGCTACAGAGTCGAATCACTATTACACCGCCCCCACCCCCCTGGCCGTATTCCAGATGTAATAACGTTCCACTCAGCTTTTTTGAAAAAACTCCTTTTCTTGGAACAGTCTTTCGCGGGGATGCTTCCCTGAATGCCACCTTCTTCTTTGTGCAGTTTCCTTTCAGGAGCATTGATAGCTCTCCACAACCACCTTATTTACATTATTTATATTCGGACTATTATCCTCATTTTTATTGTCGTTATCACAATATTTCGGCCGTCGTGCCCTTCTGTCCTCCTCAGGTGTATATCGGACCACAATGAACTGTGAACTGAATCCTTTATTTAATCTACGAGGGTAGACTGATCTCGTTCTACTGCCCATATCGTCAAGTTCTTATTTTTTTACCAGTGCTCAGTTATTGATCGCCCGTTTCCAAGTATATACTGCCCGACCCAGGGATTGAACTGATAAATAATGCTAATTCCTCATCCCAGAAATTCATACATAACATTTCCTATCCCTTGTAGTTCTTAGCAGCGTATGTCCTTTTACTTTCGCCTCCGCTTCTCGTTCCGCCATTCATTTATACAGCTCGTCAGGTAAATGGCTCTCTACTTTACCCTGTCCCTTTTTCCTTCGATATTGTATGTCAGTGTCAAATTCTTCAAGTCCTCATTACGTGCCCCAGGAATTTCAATTGTCTCTTTCTGATTCTGGGTATGTGTCCTTTTATTTCGATTTTCCTTAAGACTTTTTACTTACGCTTTCCGTCTATGGTATTCTCAGCATCCTTTTTGTGATTGTCAACGAACACTCGTTGCCACTTTTGTAATGTCAATGAATACTCGTTGTCATTGTTATATTGCTCGTTGTAGTAGAAACTTTGTAATCGCAGATACAACTATAGTAACGCCGTTGAACAATACTGGTGTCAGACGCCTTCGAATATCACTCGCAGTAATAGTACTTGCTCGATAATACTCGCTCGAAAAGTAACCACCGAATAGTGATCCGAATAGTAATCTATATAGTGATCAGCATAAAAAAATAGTATAGGGGATTGTATTATAGAATCGCGATCCGTGTAGTAATCGAGGATAGTACAGAAATAGTGATCACTTAGACGCCACGCTAATTCCCATATATACATTTCCTTTATCATCACATGATCTACTTATTCAAAATAGGATCGCCTGTGTTTGCTCTCTGGTGATCTGTGTTCAAACTCCACTGTCGACAGCGACATTTTATTCCTTTATAACAATCCTTCTGTAGAACTACATTTCTGTTGATCCCAATTTTCTCTTCATCTATAAGGAGATTGTCCAGCATTCACTGTCAAATAGGAGGATTAATACTACAGAACAGTTTTTTTTCTTTATTTCTAACAAAAATTTCATTCTGCTTTTTTTTCGTACTTTGCTTAGCTTTTGGAAAGAATTGTTTGCTGTTTCAATTCGCCTTCGGATTTCGATGTTGGAAACTGTCAAATTCGAGAGTCAATCATTATCTCCTTATCCTCCTACGTTCTCCGTCTTCTCTTCTATTCATATCCCACACCTCAGTCAGCATTACCATTTTAATAGTAACCCTCTAAGTTGAGTGGCTCTTGAGCCATGTATTATCAGTGATTCTAAACCGTCGTGCTGGGACACGCTAGTGTGCCGCGAAATCCTCTTAAGTGTGCCGCTAAATAGCATAAAAAATAAGAAGCGAGAAAGACTATGCTCAACTGAAAAAGAAGAGATGAAGGTCTGTTTATCGCATATTTGACCTAAATATTGAAAAAAACCGTGAAAAAAAAAAAAAACAGGCAGAGGTTTCACGCTAAATAGAATGGTTAAATAGAAACATTGGAATAAAATAAGTACATATTTGTAAGTAATTATTTTAAAAAATCTACAATTTTATTTCATAACATTTAAATGTATAACTTTAAAAAATTTTGCTAAGTCTGCCATGATATTTTCATTTGCTCCTAGGTGTGCCGTTGCTTAAAAAGGTTGAGAAACACTGAATTAGATAAACTTTACTATAAAAAAAAAGACTTACCTGAAGTATATGATACAACAAACATGAGAATTCCCATGGCTGTTCCGGTGAAACCAAGACCTGATGAATATTTCTCACTGCCCAAAGTTTCCAAAGCGACTGTAGTATAAACGGCTGTAATTATGCCAATGGCAATGCCCAGTAGGGAAGAGGCACCAAAAAGTGATTCGACGCTAGAGAAGAACGGAAAGATAGCCAGGGCTATGCCGCTTATGACGACACTAATGGCCTGGAGATCCCAAGCACGGAATCGATTGCACGACATAATTCCCATTGCTACGAAGCCTCCGGGTATTGAACCTAAGCCGTACATGAGCAGCATATGGGCGCCGTCTTCTTCGCTTATATTCTTCTCAGCAGCGTAGTCCACCATAAAAGTGACAAAGATAAGCAGACTGCTGTAGACAAAACACGTTACCAGGACGTAGTATAAGAACATAAAGTTGGTGAAAATGCTGATGTCAAACAGCTTATTCGGCAGCAAGTTCTTTTCGACGAGAATCGGTTTTTCCTGTTAAGAAAATAAAATAAAAAATAAAAACGTTATCAAAAAGTATAATCCGAGACTGAACGACTTGCTTAGTGAATAAGGTAGTTTTATATTTCCCATCAACCCTAGAAGTTAGTGTTGAAGCCTATAAAGAAACAAGGATTCCGAAATCTGTTTCAAAAAGCATGAAATACACTCACCACTAGGGGCGTTGGCAAAACACAATCCTATTCTTTTCATTTACCATAATTAATCTTGTACCTAGTAATTACTAACATTAAGTAAAAGCTAAAGACATGTAAATCATACTCATTTGGGAGACTGGCGCAACACAATCTTCCTCTGCTCATTTTCTTTAATTGATCTTGTACTTAGCCTAGTAATTACCAACATTGGGTAAAAACTAGGATATTGAATGCTGATATTAAAGGAATACTCGTTTGGGAGATTGGCGCAACACAATCTTCCTCCGCTCAATTTTCTTAATTGGTATTGTACTAAACCAATAATTACCAACATTAGGTAAAAATTAGGATTCCGAATGCTGATATTCAAGACTGATAGATCATACCCGTTTGTCAGATTGGCGCAATACAATCTTCCTAACGTTGTCTTCTCACTCATTAATAAATAACGACATAAACCAGAAACAATACATTGCCATACTTACTCAAGTAAGTTTCTCTGCATAAAAGCAGAAAATAAGTTAGTAATTAAAAGATAACACGAAACTTGAATCTTCTTTATATAGCATTTCATTCACACCAATATTTCTTCAGTTATTTTCAGCCAGTCTGTAATAGATGAGCAACTTGAACACTTTTTGTCAAATATTTGGACCCTATATTCTCTGTCTGCGGTGTATCAGAGCCTAGCTACGGCTGCTGTTTATATATACAACGGTATAACCTTCTCATTCTCACGCTTTCAATACTGGATACAGGTATGAGGTCACGTATTTCTGCATTCAGTGGCTATGACCAACACCAGGTCAACCTCCTGGTGCATCCGCCTTCCTTGTTGTGAACTTCTGACCAGTTTCATTCCAGTAGAAAGCCACATAACTAAGGCATTTCAGGAAGTGTAATATTCTCGACAGTGTGGCTTGAACACAGATACACATTTGTTAAGTGTAATGAATCAGGTCACTTGATTGATATACATGTATGATTTCTTGACTCCAACCATAATAAAGGAAATTAGAATATTGCTCTTGTCTTTTTATGTAGTCGGAGGTGGCCAAAGGGAATGCCTCCATTGCTTGACTGAGGAAGAAATCTCATCACTTATTCAAACGCTTATTTACTCTCTGATTAACAGTATTTCAGACACAATCATAGAAGTCAGGCGTGTAAGCTTTCTACGTTCTACCATTAGATATAACAGATATCCTGTTGGGCACACTGAAGCCGTGACTGAATGAATGGGACCCTTGTTTAAACATTCCTTATATAAATATTTCAAAGAAGGAACAAAGTCAAGAATCTTAGCAAACTTTACTGACAGAAAGGACTGGTATATGTATAATATGGAAAAACGATATATATATATATATATATATATATATATATATATATGTAAGCAAATATATGGATATAGATCCGACAGTATGAAGAAAAATATACAGAAAAAACAAACAAAAATCCTAATATGCGATTATGCTGTTTTAATGTTTAATGTCAACGTCGGACGTTTCGGTCTAATAGGTCTTTCAGGACATATTCCTAAATCATAATTAACATAGACCATATACAATTCAACATCGCCCACGTGACGACGAGGTGATCATATTTAAACGGAACGCTGATCTTATAAAAGATTTCAGTTATCTGTTGGAATTGGTATTGCTTTTATGTCCATCGTCTTTTTCATGTTGAATTGTATATGGTCTATGTTAATTATGTTTTATGAATATGTCCTGAAGATGTCTATTAGACCGAAACGTCCGACGTTGACATTAAACATTAAAACAGCATAATCGCATATTAGGATTTTTTGTTTGTTTTTTCAGTATATTTTTTCTTCATATATATATATATATATATATATATATATATATATATATATATATATATATATATATGAAAATATATAGAAAATAGGAAGGAACTGGTTAGGTAAATAATCCAAAAGTCCCTTAGTATTTTAGTTATTATTTTTAAAAAATAGTGCTCGATACAAAAGTAGAGCATAAATATAATTATTTATTTAAAATATGATTCCAAATCACTACATAAGAGGTCTCATGTTTCAAAACTAGAGCCGAAAACTTCAATATAATCCTTTAAATTAAATTGAGTTGAAAGTAAAATGGGCTCCGTTCCATCCTCAAGCGAAATTTTTGTTGGAATAACGTATATCTGAAATTTACTTGTTTTAAAATTGAAATCAAAATCCCCATGGTAACAGCTATGGTGAATTTTCTAAATTGGGTAGGCGAGTGTAGGGTGTTTATATTAAGTAGCGGCATAGAGATACTTTCAAGGTGTCAAGTCGGGGAAAGGTGAGGGTGTCAAAAATGAAACGGAAGATGTATTGGCCATCGTCTAGTTATATATATATATATATATATATATATATATATATATTTTATTTATCAAGAATAATTTTCGAGAAATCTATGATAAATTGGAAAAGGCTTTCGTGTGACGCGTTTCGTCCTTTAGGACTTCATAGGACTAAAGTTAGAATTATGTTGATGCGGTTACACACGCACACCAATGAGTCTGACCATAATTTTGATTTAAAGAGAATGATACTCTAATTAAAAGAAAAAGTAATTTATGAAGACGAAAATGCTTAGAAAAATGCTTTAATCGCTAGGATCATCCACAATTAAATTTTAAAATCTCAGCGTTTCCCCTCATTCATGCGCATGTGTAGTCGTAACAACATAAAAATCACTTTAGTCCATTGGTTCTTAACCTTTTTTGAGTCACGAACCCCTTTAGTCACGGACCTCTTGAGTTACGGATACCCATTAGAAATAGCCTTTCATAGATAGACAGACAAGCAGATATTCACAGTCTGGTTTTTTACAACACTTGTACGTGCATTTCTTCATACTGCACCCTCATGCACACTGCCATCACATCACTTTTCAATCAAATCAGTTGAAAGTAATTGTGATCAATTCATCCTCACCAGAAGATAATCAATCCGTGATTAACCATTGAAAATTAAAATTATCACTTGCTCTTATGGAGTGGCAAAAGATGGCGGTCGTGCAGTGAATGATGACATACGTTTAAATGATATACATAGACCCAACAGCAAGTCAAGAGACGTCTAGCAGTCAGCACTTTAAGTATTGACTGGGTGCGTATTCTTTCAAGCCGTGGCAGGATGCATTTACTTTTATTTCTTTCGATGGGAAACCGTTGGTTGGGACAGGGGCTATGTAGCGAATATAGATGTTAATTTTTCTTATCTTCACGGACCTCTTGAAATCCATCCATAAACTCTGTAGGGGGCAATGAACTCCAATATAGGAAGCTCTGCTTTAGATGAAGTCCTAAAGGACGAAACGCATCACACAAATACCTTTTCCACTTTCATACTTTTTCCTAAAACATGTATCGCATAGAAACATTTGTTAAAGGAAATTGAAAATTTATTATAGTAAAATTGAAATCTTATTAGAATTAGTAAAATTAAAAATTTATTACAGAAAATTTATTATAGAAAACTGAAAATTTATGATAGAAAATTGGAAATAAGTAAGAAACCGATTATCAGTGTTCAGGAATTAATGCAAGCGTTAATAACGGAACACGGGTACTCGTATGATAGATCATCTTATAGAAATGCAATGAAAATTAGGAACAGATTGTAAGTGGTCAGGAATTAATGCAAGCGTTAATGACGGAATGCGAGTATTCGTATGATAGATCATCTTATAGAAATGCAATGAAAATTAAGAACAGATTCTAAGTGGTCAGGAATTTAGGCAAGCGTTACTGATAACATAGTGTGTGTATAATATATAAAAATACTATTAGATCACTGCGCAAATGATGAAGAAAAGGGAACAAACATGAAGTTACGTTCCCGCCATAAGACCGAGTATCAAAAGGAGGATTTTTCCCATGACGCCGCTTTTTTTAAACTAATCTCTCTCCTCAGCAATGATTATTGCTTTAAAAAGCGATGATTAGAATTGCAATAAAGCCTAAACATATAATAAAAGTGAATTTATACATATTCTTTATTCTTGACAATTGACAACAAAAATAATAAACACTAACAGATTGTTTATTTACACTATTTATTTATTGTATTGTTTGTTGGAATGGTTGGTAAAACATTGGCTAATTGCCAATTGATTCGAACTTTATAAAATGGTAAATAATAAGGATTTCCTTACAACTACTTCACGTATTTTAATAATTTAATAAATGTTTATAAATTTATGAATAAAGCAATGTTTTCATATTTATTTCTTTATAAATTGGTAATTGACAAATATGCATTGGATCAGTTGTATTTGTATTGGATGATTTTATATTTAGAATGTTGTAAATATAAAATTATTCCTGTAAATAATCCAATAAATAAATATGTTTAATTAATATTTTTGTTGTAAGTTCTCAAGAAAAAGAAAATATATAAATTCACTTTCATTCACCTGTTTAGGATTTATTACAATTCTAATTATCACTTTTTAAAACAGGAAACATTGCCGAAGAGTGAAGGTAGTTTTAAAAAAATCGGTGTCAGGTGAAAAAACGTTCTTTTGACAGTCCATCTTATTGCGGGCACGTAAGTCCATTTTTGTCGGAAAGGGTTGTCAGTGATTTGGTATTAGGACAAGCATTACTGACTGAATTATTCTGTTATATATATATGCTATAGAAATAATAAAAGCGATTTTCAGAGGTTTGATATTAAAGTAATCATTACTAATAAAATTAGAGGAGAATATCTATAGAATATATGACACGTTCGGCGGAGGAGGGGCGTATTTAAAAAAAATCAAAAATTGCTTTTTTTACTGCAAATTATGCATTATATCATATCCA